AAGTGGTGGGATTACAGATGTGTGTCACCATGCCCAGCCCAATTCCCCATTCTTTGTCACTCTACTAGAACTTTTTGTCCACCTAAAACCAGCGTGACACAGAGATAAATATTTCCTGTTTGGCAATTGACTGAGACTTCTGATTGCAAAACAATCCCACATGGAAGTCCTCCACCTGTAACTTGTATACTCCTCCCTATAGAAGTCTAAGGCAAAACCACCCTGCTAAGAGACTCTGATCTTAGGATTTGGAGTGCTTTTGCTATTGTAATAGCCTGAATAGATCATTCCCTTACTTGTTTAGGTTTTGTATTTGACTATAACATCCACCAAAAAGCTGGAAATTTTAAACCAAAGCAAAAAATAAAAAATAAAAAAAAAGTTCAAGCACACCTAAAGAAAGATGGGTCACAGAGTTGCAAGGAAAAGGAAGATCTAGTTGCCTCAAAGCTGATCCCCTAAGTCATATACAGTCATTAAATCTGCATCTGGGGCAGACTGGGGTGCCAACCAGATTATTAAGCCATTATCCATTCAGCTTCAGGGGAGGGGACACTGTGAGGAAGCTCAATACGTGATTTCTGAATTGAATGAAATGAAATCTGTTAATTTGCCTTGGTGCTAATTAGGGGGAAGTTTAAGGTTGATAAAGGAAAAAAAGCAGCCCCTGACAAAAAGCTGGCCTGGCACCCACAGCTATACCAGGTTAGTCTTCTGTTGGACATAATCTCACAGAATACTAATATCAGAAAGGTTACTCAGAGACCATGATAAAGTAACACTAAATAAGACCACTTCAGAATTTTGCGTAACCACAAATACAAGGGCACCGTGCCATGCAAAGTACCTAAACATCCCATCTCCACTAATATGAGTGACTGCCAACTTTTTTTTTTTTTTTTTAACCAATGAGAGCTTTATCCTTGCTCTTGTCTGCCCTCCCTATAGACAAAATTTGAGGCAGTCAGTGGTAGAGCAGCCGATAGTATAACTGATCCTGCTTTCTGACAGTATCCAATCTCAACAGAACAGTTTCCTTAGACCCTGCCCCAAATAATCCTCCTACTGAGACATCCCATGCTACAAGTAATAAATCTACCCTGTTTACTTTGGTTGGAACGCATTGACAAGGTGCCTTGGCTAAACAACTTGAGTTTGTAGAGCTAGGCAAATCATGAGGAAGCCTCTGAAGAAAAATAATAGAAATTTGTATACAAAACAAAATATTTTATAACTGATGGCAAATCAAAGGCTACTATAGGAAACTGAGTCACCAAAGAATTAGAAAAGACTTCTCTGAAGGGAGGGCTGTGCCAGGGAGTTTCAGGAGGCTGTGCACATTTTCATTATCTTTAAAAGGGTGTGCAGAATGAATTAACACAACTGAAAACACTTTCAGAACTTAATTCTACATTCCATTCTCTTCTGGAACGTCAGGAGCTATGCCCATGTTAATTATGTTCCCCCAGACTACCCTGAAATCCAAGAGGGATGTTATCTCCACACAAATTCCCAAACACCAAAGATGTTAGAACTAGAACATTACCATTTTGCAATCCCTAATGAAATAATAGATCTGAAAAATGATCATCAATGGCTGTTAAAGCCGTTAGGTAAAATGTTATTTTAATGCTCTTAGTCTGTATCAGGTAAGAAAATTATAAAATCCATGTAATGGGTGGCAAAAACTTCTTGCTGTTTCCCAGTATCCACCCATACTTTTTTTTTTTTTTTGAGACTAGGGTCTTACTCTGTTGCCCAGGTTGAAGTGCAGTGGTGATCATTGCTCACTGCAGCCTGGACCTCCCGGGCTAAAGCGATCATCCTGCCTTTGGCTTCTCAAAGTGCTGGGATTATAGGAATGAGCCACTATGCCCAGGCCCATCTGTACTCTTTACACAGTTTAGCTGGTACCCAATGCCCATAATACATGCCACTTTCCTAGCCTTCTTGGCAGTTAGTTGTGGTCACGTGACTAAATTCTAGTAAGATGAAACCAAAATGGAATGTGGTGGCTACCAGAGCCTTTCTTATCAACCCTTTTTGTTTGTTTTCTTTTTCTTTTTCCTTTTTTTTTTAAGTGATTGGATTTTGCTACATTGCCCAGGCTGGACATGAACTCCTACCTCAGTCCCTCCCCACCACCCAGTGGCTGAGACCATAGGAGCGAGCCATTGCACCTGGCTTCAGCCCTTTGTTTGTACTCTTCTTTATTGCTTCTTCAATCCTGCTACCTAGATTAGAATGCAGGCATCCAGGATTGTGATTCCAGGTTATGCTCAGTGTCAGAAGAGAAAAGGCAGCTGGGTGTGGGAAACCACGGCTCACAGCTGTAAACTCAGTGCTTCGGGAAGCCAATGGCAGGAGGATTGCTTGAGCCTAGGAGTTTGAGACCAGCCTGAGCAACATAGTGATACCCCATCTCTACAAAAAATTTAAAAATTAGCCAGATGTAGTGGCATGCGCCTGTGGTCCCAGCACTTTGGGAGGATTGAGTCCAGGAGTTCACGGTTACAGTGAACTATGATCTCACGACTATACTCCAGCCTGGGTAACAGTAAGACCATTTCAAAAAAAATAAAAAATAAAAAAAAAAGAGAGTGGAGAAGGAGAGGAAAAAGAGGGGGGAGGGGAAAGAAGGGAAGAAGAAAGAGGAGGGCAGAGAAGTAAAGGGGAGAAGAGGGAAAGGGGGAAGGGAGGACAGGGAGAAGTGCCGGAAGGGTGGCAGGAGCAGAGGCCCAGAGATTACACTGGAAACTGTTATGATGCTTTCTGGTACAAGTTACAGAATACTAATTCAAGATGCTGGCAATAATAAGGTAATGTGTTTATTATCTCACATATGAAGTCCATGGATAGGATGGGCTCAGGAATGAAAGGTATAGCTGGGCTCTAGCTCCACAAAATAGCTACCTGCATGATAGCAGGTATCATGCTAAAAGCTTTGCTCAGAGGAAGAAAAGGGACCTTTGTCCTGTATCTCTTTCTTAAAAGTGAAGAATCCTTTTCTAGAAGCTACCCAGCAGACTTGTCATCCAGTATCACTGTCCAGAACTAGATTATATACCCGTTATCAAAACAATCACAGGCAAGGATAGTAAAGTGACTAGGAATAGTAAACCATTCATACAAGATCTGCCTGCAGAACTGGGGGTGGGATCACCATCCCCTGAGTCACACAGGACAGGGATAGACAGAGGACCACTACTATGGTTGTGCAAGCTGTGTACTGCACAACTCCAAGAGGCCTCACTTGTAGTCAGTCATTTGTAAGGTTATTATGACAAATTTCCAGTAGATGGCGGTAAAGTGCTTGGGAAAAGGGCATCTTTTTCTGACTTCTGAAGTCACAGCAAGCAGACAAGGTAGATACTTAACACAATCAAGATTCTGTTAGAAAGAACGTGGTGGGGGTGGTGGGAAATGAGTACTTGACAGGTAATGAGAGTTCTGCAGCAGAAAGTAAATAATCTAACTTACAGTGAATCTTTTAAAATTATATATGGTAAATTCTATTTTAATAAAATAATCCATTCCAGGTTTAAGAAAAATTTTGAATATTTTTATTCAATTCCAATATACTCTGCAAAAACAAATTAGACAGACAGATATCCTAAATTGAAAATCATGATGTACAAAACCCACTATCATTACCAATAAAAAGTTTAAAATAAAGTGTCAAGATTGATTTTTATAAGAACAGCATTCATACATCAAAAACCTCCTTTATACCAAACGATTAAGGTATACTGAAAATTACTATACCTCAAGAAAATATATCAATAGATGAAATATTATCACTGAAGATTAGTCACATAAGGCATGATTAGTTTTAAGAAATTTAAATAAAATATTAAAGTTCCTTCACTATTTCTGTCAAATGCATGTCCACAGAAAAAAAAAAAAAGTAAGTCAAAACTAAACAGGCAGACAAATGATAAAGTTGGGAATATACAGTGATATGTCAGGAATTTTTTCTTTTGAGACAAGGTCTCCATCTGTTGCCCAGGGTAGAATGCAGTGGCATGACCGTGGCTCACTGCAGCCTCAAACTCCTAGGCTCAAGCAATCCACCCTCTTCAGCCTCAGCCTATGACGTATTTGGGATTACACAGCATGCCACCACGCTAGGCTAATTTTTAAATTTTTGTAGAGATGAGGGTCTCCCTATGTTGCCTAGGCTGGTCTTGAACTCCTTGCCTCAAGTAATCCTCCCGCCTTGGCCTCCCAAAGTGCTAAGATTATACATGTGAGCCACTACATCTGGCCTAGGAAGATTTTTTTTTTTTTTTTTTTTTTTTTTGAGAGGAAGTTTTGCTCTTGTTGCTCAGGCTGGAGTGCAATGGCACAATCTCGCCTCACTGCAACCTCCACCACCTGAGTTCAAGCAATTCTCTTGCCTCAGCCTCCCAAGTAACTGGGATTACAGGTTATGTGCCACCACGCCCAGCTAATTTCGTATTTTTAGTAGAGATGGGGTTTCACCATGTTGGCCAGGCGGTCTCCAACTCCTGACCTCAGGTGATCCACCCGCCTCAGCCTCCCACGGAGCTGGGATTATAGGCATAAGCCACTGTGCCCGGCCTAGGAAGTATGTTTTGTTTTTTTTTTTTTGAGACGGAGTCTCGCTCTCTCTCCCGAGCTGAAGTGCAGTGGCCGGATCTCAGCTCACTGCAAGCTCTGCCTCCCGGGTTCACGCCATTCTCTTGCCTCAGCCTCCCGAGTAGCTGGGACTACAGGCGCCCGCCACCTCGCCCGGCTAGTTTTTTGTATTTTTTTTTTTTTTAGTAGAGACGGGGTTTCACCATGTTCGCCAGGATGGTCTTGATCTCCTGACCTCGTGATCCGCCCGTCTCGGCCTCCTAAAGTGCTGGGATTACAGGCTTGAGCCACCGCGCCCGGCCGGAAGTATTTTTTAAAGTGAGAATAGGTAATCAATTTCCTCATTCCTATAACCTCGATCATGTTCTCTAAATATCAAAGCAAAACTGTACAGATGATATGATATAAAATGCAGGGGGTTTTCTTTGGATCAGTCTACACTTGAGGTCAATAATATATGCAACGTGTGCGATGAAACGGAATTCCTTTCATATCTTCCCTATGGTCACGGGCATAGTCCCATAAGTAATAATCCAGAAGAATGGAATTGATCTCTCCACTAGGTTTTTCACCCTTTTGTTCAATAAGCTCCAGAAGACAATCTCGGATCAGCTCAACACACCAAAGCGAGCACCCTCTGATTTCCACCTCTTGCCTGTCTCCATATGAGAGCATTTCTCCTGCAAGGGAGAAAAACAGTAAGAAAAAGTAATAGTCAATGATACAAAATCTACTCAGAACTTTACTGTAGAACAAAACATAGTATTTAAATGGTACTCACTTTAAAACTGTAAACCTCAGACTTTATTTTTGGTAATTTAAATCATTTCAAAACGTAGGCACTGATTTTAAATTACAAGTTAAATTCCACAAAGATAGGGGCCACATCTGGCTTGTCTCAATATTCCCAGGACCTAGCATAGCACCTTGCACATACTAGCTCCCCAATAAATATTTGATAAATGAATAAGTGGTGACCATAAATTTAAAAATATGACTGCTAGTTATTAAAAAGATGGTATTTAAAATTAGGTTTGATACCAGAAAAAAAATATTATTGCAGGCTGGGTGCAGTGCCTCACACCTGTAACGCTAGCAATTTGGGAGGCTGAGGTGGGAGGATTACTTGAGCTCAGGAGTTCGACCAGCCTGGGCAACATGACAAAACCCTGTCTCTACAAAAAATACAAAAATTAGCCAGGCATGGTGGTATGTGCCTGTAGTCCCAGCTACTCGGGAGGTTGAGGTGGGAGGGTCACTTGAGTCCAGAAGACAGAGGTTGCAGTGAGCCAAGATCAGGCCATCGCACTCCAGTCTAGGCAACAGAGCCAACCCTATCTCCAAAATAAATAAATATTTATTTGGGGAATATCTGATTTTGCAAGGCAGGTGCTGGCTGTGCCTTGCCACTGAGACTAGAGTAGGAGTCATGGACCCACGTCTACATGCAGCAGTCAGATGCAAACTGTAGTGAGCTAGGTAGTGAACGTAGTACTATACAAAGGTACTGTATGTTTCCATATTTTTCTTATGAGAGAAGTCAGGAAGTTTGATTTTTATGGGAAATCTCCTAATTTTCAAGAGTTGGAAACTAATTAAAAATTGCTAACATCATTTTTCAGGCCAAACATAACACAACTGCAAGCTGTATTTGGCCTCTGGCCACCTAACTGCACCCCTGCACAAAGCCTCACAGTACCCAGGAGATCTTGTGATCTTAAGTAGTGTTACTTATGCCCCCCTCCATCCAACTCTCCCATGGGTTTAGGCACTGGTCAGTGGAACAGATGGGAAAACAGCGATTAACCAGGTTCCTCCATTCCCTTACTTTGAACCAGGTGCTAGTATAGAAGCCCATACCTTCCCTCTTCAGTTTTGCTGTTAATCACTTCCTCCAAATTTGACTATCAACTTGCTAAAACTGCCAAATCAACCAACAGAGTGGTCAAGGAGGCAGATGCTCCTACCCAAGTAGAGCTATTAGATAAGACCACTGCTCCACTTGGCGGCTGGACTGTAACCTTGAGGCAGAAGTACTCAGTTAAGCGGCACTCAGGTTCCTGACCCAGGGTCATAAATGTCTGTTGTTTTAACCACTAAATTTTAGCGTAATTTGTTACACAGCAATAGATAATAGTAGTGGGTTGAACTGTGGCTCACAAAAAGATACATTCAAGTCATAACTCCTGGTACCTGTGAATTTGACTTTGTTTGGAAATAGGGACTTTGCAGATGTAATCAGGTGAAGATGAGGTCATACTGGATTAGGATCAACCTTAAATCCAATGAAGGAAAGGTGAGATCCTGTCTCTACAAAAAATGGAAAAAGTAGCCAGGCATGGTGGTATGCACCTCTAGTAGCCCCAGCTAATCAGGAGGCTGAGGCTGAGAAGGGAAGATCGCTTGAGCCCAGGAGTTTGAAGCCGCAGTGAGTTATGATCATGCCACTGCACTCTAACCTTGGTGACAGAGTAAGACCCTGTTTCTAAACAAAAAAGAAAGCAAGCAAGAAAAGAAGAGGATACAGGTGGGCGCAGTGGCTCATGTCTGTAATCTAAGCACTTTGGGAGGCTGAGGTGGGTGGATCACCTGAGGTCAGGAATTCGAGAGCAGCCTGGCCAACACGGTGAAACCCTGTCTCTACTAAAAATACAAAAATTAGCCAGGCGTGGTGGTGGGCATCTGTAATCCCAACTACTCAGGAGGCTGAGGTAGGAGAATCACTTGAACTCAGGAGAAGAAGGTTGCAGTGAGCCGAGATGGCACCATTGCACTGGGCGACAAAAGCAAAACTCCGTCTCAAAAAAAGAAAGAAAAAAAAAAGAGGATACGAAGAGACAGGAGACACAAGGATAAGAAGGCCATGATTGGTGTGATGCAGCTACAAACCAACGAATGCCAAGGACTGCTGGAGCCACAAAGTGCTGGGAAGAGGCAAGGAAGAATTATTCCCAAGAGCCTTGAGAGGAAGGATGGTCCTGCCAACATCTTCATCTTGATTTCAGACTTCCATCCTCCAGAACTGTGACACAATACTTTTCTGTTGCTTGAAGACATCTAGTTTGTGGTAATTTGTTATGTCAGCCCTAGGAAACTAATGTAATAACTAATACAGCAACTTACAGTATGGGGTAGAACGTGGACTTCAGACAGAAAAAGACATTTGAGTGGACTGACAGAGATTAGAGTCAGGGAAGGTAATATGGCCCAGGTATTTGGTCTAAAAGCTGGCCCTAGAATCACAGTGAAAAGCTAAATTTAGTCAAATTGCATTGTTAGTTTTTTATAATTGGCCAAGTACTATGTCTTCGGTGAAGAGATGGGTTAAAGACAGTGGACAGAAATCTAGGTGGCACTTCCAAGGGCTGTCCCTGAGATACCCAGATGAGGAGAGAAGGGAAGGAATACCAGTGTAGTAAATCCTCAAGTTTAGAAGTACCATTGGAAGCCAGTTAAGGAAGGTCCTACCTCACCTGGTCAAACTAAGCTGGTCCTAGATTCCACTTAAGGTAGTTTTTAAAAATGAGTACACTATACTTATGTCTGTTACATTACATTTACAGTTTGTTTATTTTTGGTCTCATTTTGCAGTAAAATACTTTTTGGAAAACAAAATCCAAATTTTACTTAAATGCACTAAGTGGCAAAAGAATTTGTCCACCCTATATCAAACTGGCTAAGGATAGGAGAGTACCCTTTTAGAAGCAAGGCATAAATGGAGACAGTAATGACTGCCAATGGATATTGGAAAAGAGCCTCTGGAGTTGAAATGGATGGGAGAAGAAAATTCTGACATCTCTATACAACTATGCTGGATGATCCCTTCTCACTATGGTTTTTCTCAAAGTAGCAGAGACAATTAAGTGCTATAAAAACTGAGAAGGAGATGGACAAATCACTATGAGCAAGGACAGCATTTGAGTGAAGCCTCTGTATAGGATTTGAATTGAAAAAAAGCTGGGCGCGGTGGCTCACGCCTGCAATCCCAGCACTTTGGGAGGCTGAGGTCAGGAGTTCAAGACCAGCATGAACAACACGGTGAAACCCCAACTCTATTCAAAATACAAAAATTAGCCAGGCATGGTGGCACGCACCTGTAATCCCAGCTACTTAGGAGGCTGAGGCAGGAGAATGGCTTGAACCCGGGAGGCAGAGGTTCTGGTGAGTCGAGATCATGCCACTGCACTCCAGCCTAGGCAACAGAGCGTCTCAAAAAAAAGAAAAAAGAAAAAGAAAATTTGGATGACAGAAACCAAGTAAGACAATGCTTAGAGATATCAATGAACAGTGTGTACAAAAGAAAAAAAAAAGCAACTTAATATGGCTTATGAAAGATAAGCCCTGATTGCTAAACGTTGTCCCTTTTAAAGGTATCCAACAGGCCGGGCGCGGTGGCTCAAGCCTGTAATCCTAGCACTTTGGGAGGCCGAGATGGGCGGATCACGAGGTCAGGAGATCGAGACCACCCTGGCTAAGACGGTGAAACCCCGTCTCTACTAAAAAATACAAAAAACTAGCTGGGTGAGGTGGCGGGCGCCTGTAGTCCCATCTACTCGGGAGGCTGAGGCAGGAGAATGGCGTAAACCCGGAGGCGGAGCTTGCAGTGAGCTGAGATCCAGCCACTGCACTCCAGCCTGGGTGACAGAGTGAGACTCCGTCTCAAAAAAATAATAATAAAAATAAAGGTATCCAACAATTAGTGACCCTTGACATGAGCACTATGACAAAAAATAGCATGTTCTTTTTCAAACGAGGAAATGGAAGACAAACAGATTGCCCATGGCAGCCTAAAAACCCAGTAGAGCCAACCACAGGAATAATGATACCTTTATATTCTGTGTTATTCTGATCTGGGGGATTCAAATCTATTTCACAAGAGGAAGTTATTCAATCATAGAATCTACTTCTTTTAAAAAACACATAAGGCCGGGGCGGTGGCTCACACCTGTAATCCCAGCACTTTGGGAGGCCGAGGCAGGCGGGTCACGAGGTCAGGAGATCGAGACCATCCTGGCTAACACAGTGAAACCCCATTTCTACTAAAAATACAAAAAATTAGCCGGGCATGGTGGCAGGTGCCTGTAGTCCCAGCTACTCGGGAGGCTGAGGCAGGAGAATGGCGTGAACCTGGGAGGCGGAGCTTGCAGTGAGCTGAGATCATGCCACTGCACTCCGAGCAAGACTCTGTCTTAAAAAAAAAAAAAAAAGAAAAAATACATAAAGAGGCCAGGTGCAGTGGCTCATGCCTGTAATCCCAGCAAGTTGGAAGGCTGAAGCGAGAAGATTGCTTAAGCCCAGGAATTTGAGCACATATTTTTAAATATGTGCCTGGGCACATATTTTTAAAATAAAATAAAATAAAAAAGAAAAAAGTAGCAGAAAATTTTGCACCTAAAAGAGAAATTAACATGAAAATCATATAATTATTTTCCTCATACAAGGAAATGTTATAAGCTAATTTTCACACAAACTTTTCAACCCAATTTACCTATGCTTATTTATCATAAGGCTCCTAGTCTTGATATCAATAATCATATCCAATAATGGTGAATAAGCCAAGAGAAGTGAGTGACTTGTGCAAGATATCCCAGTGCAGACTTTGGAGTCTCTTCACTCAAAAGTCAGTTCATATTACCTATCTTTCAGCCTACCCTTCATATCCCCATGTAGTGTGCTCTTCAGCTTAATTAACACTTTTCAAATACTATACCTGATGAACTGTCAGTGTTACATACTTTAATGTAACATAAATTTAGGTGTCATTAGGCTATGGAATTATAATGTTCAAAGAGCACAATTTTCTACAATATCCACATTTCACAGTGCAAACAAAAAGAAAAATCATTTTGTCTACTTATCTTTGCATTTTCCTTTACATACACTATGAACAATAAATAGTACTCTTTTTTTTTTAAAGCAAAGGAGACCTTTTGCAAAAAAAACCTAAACCGCCTGGCGTGGTGGCTCACGCCTGTAATCCCAGCATTTGGGAGGCCGAGGCGGGCAGATCACGAGGTCAGGAGATCGAGACCATCCTGGCTAACACGGTGAAACCCCGTCTTTACCAAAAATACAAAAAAATTAGCCAGGCATGGTGGCGGGTGCCTGTAGTCCCAGCTACTCAGGAGGCTGAGGCAGGAGAATGCCTGAACCCAGGAGGTGGAGCTTGCAGTGAGCCGAGATTGCGCCACTACATTCCAGCCTGGGCGATGGAGCGAGACTCCGTCTCAAAAAAAAAAAAAAAAAAAAACTAAACCAAAATCCAACAATTCATAGTATAACAAAGAATGACTTAAAGTTGCAAACCTTTGAGAAGCTTCTTCAGTAGTTCATCAGAGTATTTCAGGGCTCCAAGATGAGCAAGAACCTGAGGTAGTCTATAATCAGCAAACATGGTGATACTGGAGATGTCCTTAAAGCAGCCATCTCCTTTTCCTTCCAATACACTCCACGTATCTGCTACAAGGATTTGGGCTCGTTTGTAAAAAGAAACTCTTTTCCCCTGATGAATGAAGAGAATATGAACGTTATCTGGGTATCTGAAAGCTTTCTATATGCTATTTTTTAAAGGTGAAGGTTGAAACATTTTTTAAAAGGCAAAATAATCTTACTTTGTTGTTAAGAATTTATAGATTGGCTGGGCACATGGCTCCCGCCCGTAATCCCAGCACTTTGGGAGGCTGAAGTGGGCAGATTGCTTGAGCCCAGGAGTTCAACCAGTCTGTGAAACATGGCATAACTCCATCTCTACAAAAAACAAAAAATTAGCTGGGCATGGTGGCACATATCTATGGTCCCAGATACTCAGGAGGTAAGGTGAGAGAATCGCCTGAGCCTGGGAGGTCAAGGCTGCAGTGAACTGTGATCACACCACTGCACTCCAGTCTGGGTGACACAGCGAGACCCAGTCTCAAAAAAAACCAGGAATTCATAGATCTTTTACAGGAAACAAAAGGATTTAATAAACATTAAATTTTCTATCACTCCAAACTCACTTCCCATTTTTCAAGGCACATAAAATACAATTTATGTAATCTTGATACTACTTAGTATTATTTTTCAATGACAAAACTTCATATACACATTCCTGCAATATAATCCAAGGGCTTATTATTTTAAATGTGTAGATAGCATTCCTTTTGAAAGTTTCTTAAATTAAAACACGTCTGTTTTCCTGATTGCAATATAATTGACATTAATTGTATAATATACAGCAAAGTATAGGCCAGGAGTGGTGGCTCATGCCTGTAATCCCAGCACTTTGGGAGGCGAGGCGGGAGGATCATGAGGTCAGGAGTTCGAGACCAGCCTGGCCAATATGGTAAAACCCCGTCTCTACTAAAAATACAGAAATTAGCTGGGTGTGGTGGCAAGCACCTGTAGTCCCAGCTACTCAGGGGGCTGAGGCAGAAGAATTGCTTGAACTCGGGTGGTGAAGGTTGCAGTGAGTCAAGATCGTACCACTGCACTCCAGCCTGGGCGACAGAGCAAGGCTCTGTCTCAAAAAAAAAAAAAAAAAAAAAGCAACATATAAAGAACAATCATCCATAAGCTCAGGTCTGAAGAGAACTACAACATTCATTTTTAACTGTTTCCTTTCAGATAATATGATTAACTTATTTTATAAAGACATTAATTGATCAACAGCTAGAAAATGATAATATTTACCAACTTTGGAAATGGTCAAAGTTGATATGTAAGTCCAAATATGAAAATAAAATAGCCAATTATATTTATACATAGAAAAGACAAATTTAACCAAGCATTAGTGGGTTATAATTTAACTCAAAAATTCTAGTTAAGTGTGGTGGCTTACACTTGTAATCCCATCAATTTGGGAAGCCGAAGCAGGAGGAGTGTTTGAAGCCAGAAGTTCAAGACCAGCCTGGGCAACGATGAAACTCCATCTCTACAAAACATGGCGAAACCCTGTCTCTACAACCACCACACCTGGCTAATTTTCGTATTTTAGTAGAGACGGGGTTTCACCATGTTGGCCAGGCTGGTCTCAAACTCCTGACCTCAGGCAATCTGCCTGCCTTGGCCTCCCAAAGTGCTGGGATTACAGGTGTGAGCCACTATGCCCAGCCTACAAAAAAATATATATTTTTTTAATTAGCCAGGTGTGGTGGCACGTGCCTGTAGTCTCAGCTACTCACCAGGCTGAGGCAGGGGGATTGCTTGAGACTGGGAGGTAGAGGCTGCAGTGAGCCGTGATCACATCACTGAACTCCAGCCTGGGCAACTGACTGAGACACTATCTCAAAAAAAAAAACCAACCCAAAAAAACTCTGTAAATCTACAAATGCAAATCAGCCTAAACTATGGGAAAACATAGATAATTACAATCGACTACAAGTCCTAATACCAATAGTAATAACCTTAAATCATGTTTTATAAATGTTTGTTTATCAATATTACTAGCTCCCAAAATATATCCTGACCACCTTGGAGGAGAATATTTTAACTTGTAAACGACATAAACAAATAAATACGAGATTAAAAGTTTAAGGAAAGGCTCTATATAAAAATTCCTTAAGATGATACTACAGATTCTTTTATTTACTAACAAAACGCCAATGATATGCTATCATAACAAGAAATAACCTAATATTGCTTAACCTTAAGATATGCCTATTGTAACAGATCCAGACCTATTTTTATTATACTAAATAAATTAAAACTTCTAAAGCTACATTTAACAAAGTCAGAATTTGTTTTCCAAAGCAAACACACATGTTCATTTTCTGACATGGCATAATGTCTCTAAATTAAATTGAGGGGCTGAAGGAACAAATCACAATTTAAAACATTCCTACATGACACTATCACCCTATATTCCTAAACCTATCTAAATATGACAACTTGGCAATTGTTCCTCTATATAAACTAGATTTATATATGGCAACCAGGTTTCTAGTTCAAGTCTAGTTTATAAAACAGCACAAGACATAGCTGGGCACGGTGGCTCATGCCTGTAATCCCAGCACTTTGGGAGGCCAAGGTGGGCGGATCACCTGAGGTTGGGAGTACGAGACCAGCTGACCAACATGGAGAAACCCCGTCCCTACTTAAAAAAAAAAATACAAAATTAGCCGGGCATGGTGGCACATGCCTGTAATCCCAGTCACTCGGGAGGCTGAGGTAGGAAAATCACTTGAATCCGGGAGGCAGAGGCTGTGGTGAGCCGAGATCACGCCATTGCATTCCAGCCTGGGCAACAAGAGTGAAACTCCGTTTCAAGGAAAAAAAAACATAAAAAACTGCAAGACTTAAGACTTAATTTATAAAAATGTCTGTCAAACACAATTACTACACCATAAAGTTTATTATAATAGAAGCCATTATCTGCTATTTTTAACAAGATTCATAGAGCAAAATGGAAAAAACTAGGAATCAAACTTACGTAACAACCCACAGGGAAAAAAAACAAAAAATAAAAATAACAAAATCAGTGCTAGCATCTAAGAAAACATATAAATTATCATGTCACTGCTGCTTCCATGGTAGCAGACTAGTATATATAAAGAATAGATTATAATAGATATAATAATATATTAAGATAAAAAAAAAGGACAAAAAGATTTAAGGGAGGAATCAAAAATAAATTCAAGTAATCTGTAAAACATTTTCCTTTTTTTTTTCTTTTTTGGAGACGGAGTCTTGCTGTGTTGCCCAGGCTGGAGCGCAATGGTACAATCTCGGCTCACTGCAACCTCCACCTCCCGGGTTCAAGCCATTCTCCTGCCTTAGCCTCCTGAGTAGCTGGGATTACAGGCATGAGCCGCCACACCTGGCTAATTTTTGTATTTTTAGTAGAGACGGGGTTTCACCATGTGTGCCAGGCTAGTCTCGAACTCCTGACCTTGTGATCCACCCGCCTCGGCCTCCCAAAGTGCAGGGATTACAGGCATGAGCCACCACGCCCGGCCATCTATAAAACATTTTCTTGGTAAGTTCATTATGGTTTTAGAAATCAAATGATTTTGTAATCAAATTCTGGATCTCTAAAATATTAACTGGTATCACTAAAAATACTAGTAAATCTCCAAATAACAATTGCTTACATATTTCATGATATTGTTTTGTGATTTTAAGTATTTTTTAAATGGTACCTTTATAAAATAATTGTCAATAAAAAGCTCTATGACCATGAGTTAATTTTTTTCTTTTCTTTCTTTTTTTTTTTTTTTTTTTTGAGACAGGGCCTCACTGCTGCCCAGGTTGTGGCTCGATTCAGTGGCTCGATCACAGCTCACTGCAGCCTTGACCTCCCCGGGCTCAAGCAATCCTCCCACCTCAGCCTCCTGAATAGCTGGGACTATAGGTGTTCACCACCAACGCCAGTTAATTTTTTTGTTATTTTGCAGAGATGAGGTTTCCCCATGTTGCCCAGGCTGGTCTGTCCTGGGCTCAAGTGATCTACCCACCTTGGCCTCCCAAGGGTCTAGGATTACAGACAAGACCCATCACACCAGGACAGTTAAGTTTTTTGAAAAAATTCTTCCATAATTTTATCATGAATAAATAGAAAGTTCAAGGATTACCAATACTTAAGAACAACATAGGCCAAGTGCGGTGGCTCACGCCTGTAATCCCAGCACTTTGGGAGGCTGAGGTGGGCAGATCACCTGAGGTCAGGAGTTCAAGGCCAGCCTGGCCAACATGGTGAAACCCTGCCTCTACAAAAATATAAAAATTGACCGGGCATGATGGCAGGTGCCTGTAATCCCAGCTACTCGGGAGCTGAGGCGGAAGAATCGCTTCAACCCGGGAAGCGGAGGTTGCAATGAACTGAGATTGCGCCATTGCACGCCAGCAAAGACTCCATCTCAAAAAAAAAACAAAAAACAAAACAAAAAAAAGGCTGGCGCGGTGGGTGGATCACCTGAGGTCAGGAGTTCGAGACCAGCCTGGCCAACATGATGAAACCCCATCTCTACTAATATACAAAAATTAGCCTGGCGTGGTGGTGTGTGCCTCTAATCCCAGCTAACTCAGGAGGCTGAGGCAGGAGAATCGCTAGAACCCGGGAGGCGGAGGTTGCTGTGAGCAGAGATGATGCCATTGCACTCCAGCCTGGGCGAAAGAGCAAGACTCTGTCTCGAAAAACAACAACAACAACAATACCACTAAAAATAAAAAATAAAATGTTATCTATTGAAACGTCAAAAAGCTGTTTTTTATATTTATCAGTATGTCATAGTAACAATTTGTTCATTAGAACTTTTACAAAGTACTGCATTATTCTAAATCAGAGTAACTTGAAGAGCTTAAAAAATAGCTCTTCTTTCACCTATTCATCAGGATCTTTGAGGGTGGTGTTTTGGAAATATATCTGAATTTTAAGGCTCCTAAGTGATTCTGGGGCACAGCCAGGTTGGGAAATCACTGATCTACATCTGTCTAAGTTAAAAATTGTTAACTTTATTCATCTGTTCATGTCTAAAAATGAATGATAATCTCAGTAAATAGGTATACATTAAAAACACATGACTAGTTTGTGCAAATTGTTTATTTTTATTTATTTATTTTTGGGGGACAAGGTCTTGCTCTTCCAGGCTGGAGGAAAGTGGAACTATCATAGCTCACTGCAGCCTCCACCTCCTGGGCTCAAGCAATCCTCCTGCCTCGGCCTCCTGAGTAGCTAGAACCACAAGCACGCCACCACGCCTGGCTAGTTTTTAAATTTTTTGTAGAAATGGAGTCTCACGTGTTGCCCAGGCTGGTCTCGAACTCCTGGGCTCAAGCAATCCACTTACCTCAGTCACCCAATGTGTTAGGATTATGGGCTTGAGCCACCATGGCTAGCCCATTTTGGGGATTTTTCTGTAAAACTGTATTTTAGAAACAAGTACTCATGAAAAATGGTTTCTGTACCAATTTTCATTTAAAAATGTATCAGATTGGGTTGGGCGCTGTGGCTCACGCCTGTAATCCTAGCACTTGGGGAGGCCAAGGCAGGTGGATCACAGGGTCAGGAGTTCAAGATCAGCTTGGTCAACGTGGTGAAACCCCGTCTCTACTAAAAATACAAAAATTAGCCGTGCATGGTAGTGGGTGCCTGGAATCCCAGCTACTCTGGAGGCTGAGGCAGAGAACTGCTTGAACCCAGGAGGTGGAGGTTGCAGTGAGCAGAGATGGTGCCACTGCACTCCAGCCTGGGTGACAGAGTAAGACTCCATCTCAAAAAAAAAAAAACAAAAAACAAAAAACAGTATCAGATTGGCTGGGCATGGTGGCTCAAGCCTGTAATTCCAGCACTTTGGGAAGCTGAGGCAGGCGGATCACTTGAGGTCAGGAGTTCAAGACCAGCCTGGCCAACATGGTGAAACCCTGTTTCTACCAAAAATACAAAATTAGCCGGGCATGGTAGCGGGTGCCTGTAATCCCAGCTACTTGGGAGACTGAGGCAGGAGAATCGTTTGAGCCCAGGAGATGGAGGTTGTAGTGAGCCAAGATACTGTCACTTTCTGGTACATTTTTTTAAAATTGAACTTTTCAGCAAAGCAAAACCAAAGCACTGTGCTATAAATGAAATGCAGTTCTTTATAGCAGTATGAGAACAGACTAATACAATTGTATTCTTTTTTTTTTTTTTTTCCTTGAAATGGGAGTCTTGCTCCTGTCCTCCAGGCTGGAGTGCAGTGAGTGGTATAATCTCAGCTCATTACAACCTCCGGCTCCTGGGTTCAAGCGATTCTCCGCCTCAGCCCCCTGAGTAGCTGGGATTACAGGCACCCACCACTACACCCGGCTAATTTCTGTATTTTTAGTAGAGACGGGGTTTCACCATGTTGGCCAGGCTGGTCTTGAACTCCTGGCCTTGTGATCCACCCGCCTCGGTCCCCCAGAGTGCTGGGATTACAGGTGTGAGCCACTACGCCTGGCGAATTTATTTTATTTTTTATTTTATTTTTCTGAAATGGAGTCCAGCTGTGTCGCCCAAGCTGGAGTGTGGTGGCATAATCTCGGCTCACTGCAACCTCCACCTCCCAGGTTCAAAAGATTCCAAAAGAATTTTACAAAAACAAAATCCAGGTGCAGCCTGTGAGGGTCCAACAAAATGATCATCATTTGTTCAAGTACACTGCGTATGAAAAAGAAAACATAAAATATATATACAGTACACTGAACTTTGCAAGAATACTTCTGTTTTTTGAGATAGAGTCTAATTCTATCTCGCCCAGGCTGGAGTGCAGTGGTGCAATCTGGGCTCACTGCAGCCTCCACCTCCTGGGTTCAAGCGATTCTCCTGCCTCAGCCTCCTAAGTAGCTGGGACTACAGGTGCATGCAACCACACCCAGCTAACTTTTGTATTTTTAGTAGAGATGGGGTTTCTCCATGTTGGCAGGCTGATCTTGAGCTCCTGACCTCAGGTGATCCACCCACCTCGGCCTCCCAAAAGTGCTGGGATTACAGGTGTGAGCCACTGAGCCCAGCCAGAAATACTTTTTATTAGGGAGAGGTTAGTATACATTCTGATCTTTATCCAATAAAGTAACCTTCTTGAAGTACTAAAAATACCTAATTTTCCGTAAGAAGAACATTACATGGAGGGTTCCATGTTTTTTAGGTTTGAAACATTTTAAAAGGAAAAAAAAAGACAAAAGTAAAGAATGAAATACTGATTAGAAAATATAAGAAAGGAGATGAAACCCTGTCTCTACTAAAAAGACAAAAAAAATTAGCCAGGTGTGGTGGCATGCACCTGTAGTCCCAGCTATTCAGGAGGTGGAGGCAGGAGAATAGCTTGAACTGGGAGGCGGAGGTTGCAGTGAGCTGAGATCATGCCACTGCACTCCAGCCTAGGAGTCAAAGCAAGACTCAGTCTTGGGGTGGGGGAGGGAAGGCCGGGCACGGTGGCTCACACCTGTAATCCCAGCACTTTGGGAGGCCGAGACTGGTGGATCATGAGGTCAGGAATTCAAGACCAGCCTGGCCAACATGGTGAAACCCCGTCTCTACTAAAAATACAAAAATTAGCCAGGGCCGGGCGCGGTGGCTCAAGCCTGTAATCGCAGCACTTTAGGAGGCCGAGACGGACAGATCACGAGGTCAGGAGATCGAGACCATCCTGGCCTACAAGGTGAAACCCCGTCTCTACTAAAAAATACAAAAAACTAGCCGGGCGAGGTAGCGGGCGCCTGTAGTTCCAGCTACTCGGGAGGCTGAGGCAGGAGAATGGCGTAAACTCGGGAGGCGGAGCTTGCAGTGAGCTGCGATCTGGTCACTGCACTGCAGCCTGGGCAACAGAGCGAGACTCCATCTCAACAAAAAAAAAAAAAAAATTAGCCAGGTGCGGTGGCAGGCGCCTGTATTCCCAGCTACTTGGGAGACTGAGGCAGGTGAATCGCCTGAACCCGGGAGGCAGTTAGAAGTGAGCCGAGATCGCGCCACTGCACTCTAGCTTGGGTGACAAGTGAGACTCCATCTCAGAAAAAAAAAAAAAAAAGAAAGAAAGAAAGAAATGACGCCAGACATGGTGGCTCATGCCTGTAATCACAATACTTTGGGAGGCTAAGGCGGGCGGATCACCTGAGGTTGGGAGTTTGAGACCAGCCTGGCCAACATAGTGAAACCCCATCGCTACTAAAAATACAAAAAATTAGCCGGGCATGGTGGCGCATCCGTGTAATCCCAGCTACTGGGGAGGCTGAGGCAGGAGAATCGCTTGAACCCGGGAGGTAGAAGTTGCAGTGAACCAAGATCACACCATTGCACTCCAGCCTGGGCAACAAGAGCAAAACTCTGTCTCAAACAAACAAACAAACAAAAAGAAAACATAAGAAATGACTTTGAAACACTACTTAATTTTGTTAGTTTCTTCCATAAGGAATTTAAGTTTTTATTCTCAAAATGAGTTCTGGAAGTAAAAGAGTTAACTCTGAGATGATTAAGACTTCTTAAATCCCCAACAGAAGCAACTCACCTCAAACAGAGTCACATCTCTGTAAGAAGGAAAACTTTCAACCACCAGGTGCATTAACTTCTGCGCACTATTCTCACTTTCTCGGACGCAGTTGAGAAAAGAGCCTCCAAACTTCTCCAGCAGAATTTTCCCAGTTTCATTGAGAATCCGATGCCTCTCTTCTACTAAAGGCATGGACACGTCTGTGTCAGAACGAAGTATATTCCGAACCTGATCCAGGGTCACTGTCGCGTAGTACGAGGCACTAGTTATTGGTATCCCTTTAGTGAAAAAAATAAAATTCAGAGGACCAATGTCACACTTTTATATTCATCAAACCCTTGCTTTTACAACATGGAATTAATATGAAACCAAATGAATGTTATAGGAATGCACCAAAAGTGGATGAATAAAAAATCTAAAGCAAAACTCTCATTTTCTACTTGTTCATCTGTGCTTATTCACCCATTTCTAACTACTGCAATATTACATCAGATGTATTTTGAGTAAATTGCTTTATAACATCGGTCCTTTTGTTCTTCAGGTGTCATTCAAATGGCATTCTTTATAAAACTGGCTTATGCTACTGTAACTTTTATGCTGCAATGATAAATATTAACATCATTTCCCACTAAAATACGCCCCTTTTCATACTTCTATTTTAAGCAGGACTTGCAACGAACTTCAGGTTCGCTTCCCATTATTCCATCTCCCAACCCGCTCCTTGGAATCCCGCTACACGCTCCCCAAGTAAATGGAAACCTCAAAGGCTATTAGGTCCGACAGCGAGTATGGCACCAACCTTCGTCGAGGGCTCTGTTGACGGCGGCGCACAGGGACCAGTACCCACTGTACGTTCTCCCTCTGTGCCTCACCACACACTTGTGCTCGTCCTGCTCCGACCAAAAGGAGAAGTTGAGTGTGTCTGTCACGAACACCCAGTTGACCGCGGCCTCGTCGGCCGCCCTGGGGTTCAGTTCATGAAGGGCTTTCCACCCCTCCACGCGCAGCTCTGGCCCCGCTGCCTTGGCCAGCAGCAGCTCTGCCACCCTCCGTACGCCTCCGCTGTCAATAAACACATCCCGACTGTTTTCTGCGATGAATTTAGAGGATTCCCTGGGATTTAGGAGCCCGTCCATTCTGCTCTTTGGGACCGGGCGGGTCAAACTCTTTTCCTGCCCTAGGCGGGTCAAGGTCCACTCTGCGCCTTGCGCTACTAGGAACCGCGGGATCACAGGGCCTAAACACGGTCCCGCCCTGCTAGGGAGTGGCACTGAGAACTTAGTGTAGCCAAGGTAAAGTTCTCTCCCGCGGCGCTGCCCCGATTAGGAAACGAGGGACCGCAGGGCAGCTCGCTGGGCCGAGGCCGCAAGCACTTCCGGGAAAGCGGTCCCGTTCACGCCCTCTCGGGCGCGCTCCCAGGCTCCGCTTCCGGTTCCGAAGGTCTGGAAACTGCCAAGGTCTGGCGTTCACCGGCAGTGAGTTGCCCACCGTGGGAGGTGCATGGCGTTGCCATGTTGTGCCTTTTCCCACCTTGCGTCTAACAGGAGGGACTCGAAGAGGGCGAATTGCCGCCGTGGCCTGGATCGCGATGCCCCCACCCGGCTCCCGCCCCTCTCGTTTCCCGCAGCCTGGGCAAGACACCCTTGGCAACGCCCCGCATCCGGGCTCCTTGGCCTGGAGGAGCGTTATGGCCGTAGTTCTGGTTGCTGAGGACTGAGCCACCCCCAGACTGCGACATGGGGCGCCGGTGCCTCCTTCCCCAAGCCCCAGGGAGTCGGTTTTGTTTTTTTTTTTTTTAAGTGAATTCCTGGCGCATTTGGCTGAACGAACGTTAGGATTAGTTGGAAGGTTTGGAGAAATGGATGAGGAAACAAATGTATTAAATTGTTAAATTAACCTTATGTGCCTGGCAGTGTACTCAAGTACTAAATCTCACCTAGTCTGGGTCATGACAAAAGCGGCAATTGTGATCCCGCTTTTGCAAGTGAAGCTGAATGATTCCTTGATTAGCCTCCATCACAGCAATAGTTTGGGGTAGGTTTTAAACCTTTGATAACTGAGCCCCCTAAATCGAGGGCACTTTATGAGCCAATCACCAGTGCCAGTTTCTGGTCAAATAGTGACTGTATCAGTGACCCTACTGAGAAGACATTAAAAAATAGGAAATAAGTGTCTCACAACTGCAAACTTATACAAGTACGTTATATTAGGAGAGAGGTGTAGAAGCCAGTTTAGTCATGATCCAAATTTGCCTGGTGATGAAGTTTTAGTATAAAGGTATGCAGTTTTATTTCCTTTTGGAGACTTAAATCTCCATGGGTAACAAAATGTTCACACCTTTGAAAATCACCTATTAAAAATAATCATCAGTACTCATCTCTAGTTATGGACAGGAAAATCTCTTCCTTGGTTATTTTTGGAGGATTTGGAGCTTTTAAATTTGTTTGTTTGTTTGAGACAGAGTCTCGCCCTGTTTCCCAGGCTGGAGTGCAATGGCATGATCTCAGCTCACTGCAACCTCCACCTCCCAAGTTCAATTGATTCTCCTGCCTCAGCCTCCCAAGTAGCTGGGATTATAGGCGCCCCCCAACACACCTGACTAATTTTTGTATTTTTGGTAGACATGGGGTTTCCCCATGTTGGCCAGGCTAGTCTCCAACTCCTGACCTCAGATGATCCGCCCTCCTGGGCCTCCCAAATGGAGCTTTTTTTTTTTGAGACGGAGTCTTGCTCTGTCGCCCAGACTGGAGTGCAGTGGCACAATCTCAGCTCACTGCAATCTCTGCCTCCTGGGTTCAAGCAATTCTCCTGCCTCAGCCTCCCGAGTAGCTGGGATTACAGGCGCCCGCCACCACGCCCAGCTTAATTTTTGTATTTTTAGTAGGACAGGGTTTCACCGTGTTGGCTGGGCTGGTCTCGAACTCCTGATCTCAGGTGATCCGCCCGTCTTGGCATCCCAAAATGCTGGGATTACAGGTGTGAGCCACTGCACCTGGCCCCAGATGGAGCTTTTAAATTTCACAGCTGTTACCCTAGAAAAGCAGATCTTCATCCTTCCAGTTTCTTCATTTTGGTAAGAAAAAAGAACTTCAAGGACTCCACTATGATACGTTTTCCAGAAAAAGTCACTAGTACATTAATACAGTTGTTAAGGAAATGTAAGTCTGTTGGCTTGGGATTTTTCCTTTCTATCACAGCACCTAAGTCTTGGGAGACAAATTGATTTAGCAAGGAAATCTAGCCATCTGCAAAAGAATCCAGAAGGGTAAATAACTTAGACCCTTTTCTTTCACTGAGGTTTATTGGTAGAAAAAAGTCAAATGCTGGCCAGGTGTGGTGACTCACGCCTGTAATCCCAGCTCTTTGGGAGGCCAAGACGGGCGGATCACTTGAGTGCAGGAGTTCGAGGCCAGCCTGAGCAACATGGGGAAACCTTGTCTCTAACAAAAACACAAAAAATTAGATGGGTGTGGTGGCATGCGCCAGTGGTCCCAGCTTCTAGGGAGACTGAGGCGGGAGGATCATCTGAGCCCGGGTGGCAGAGAGATTCCAGTGAGCTGAGATCGTGCCACTGCACTCCAGCCTGTGAGAAAAAGTGAGATGCCTGTTCCCCCTCCCACCCAAAAAGTCAAATTCCTACCTATGTTCAAGATATTTAAACTCTAAAAGTAGTACACAAGAATAAAACATGCTTCCTTCAGTCAACGTTGAGATAAATCAAAACTCTGTGTGTCAAGGATTTTTGTTTTTGTTTTTTTAAGTGTGTCTACAAGATTCCGAGAATACAAAAAGTGAGTTGGGCTGGCCGTAGTGACTCAGGCCTGTAATCCCAGCACTTTGGCAGGCCGAGGATCACTTGAGCCCAGGAGTCGAGACCAGCCTGGGCAACATGGCAAACCCTATCTCTACAAAAAAAAAAAAAAAAGAAAAAAATTAGCCAGGTGACTGGAGCCTGTAGTCCCAGCTACTCCCAGAGGCTGAGGTGGGACGATCCCTTGAGCCTGGGAGGTGGAGGTTGCAGTGAGCTGAAATCACACCACCACACTCCAGCCTGGGCAACGCACTGTCTCAAAAAAAAAAAAAAAAGTGAGTTATTCACCTACTTAACATGGTTTTCTTGTTTTTTCCTTCCTAACAGATACTGTGATACTGTTTAGGAATCACTCTCTCAACCACAGTCCCTTGTAGCTTAGTTTAGCATTCTCTGACTCAGTAGTAGTCTGGACTGGTAATATCACCCTCTTGCCAGCAACTGGATTAGGTTTATGCATATTTCCCAGTTCACCTCAGTGAGTTGTAAGATTTGCAGAATGCTTACAGAAAAGCTTTTCCTCACACTTCCAGGAGAACTTCCAGCAGTGATTCAGGCTCCCTCTGGACCTGATTGAACTTGGATGTAAGGCCTGGAATTGCTGCAGTCCTTTTGATGGCAACCTGAGTTTGTTTTTGTTTTGTTTTGTTTTGTTTTGTTTTGAGATGGAGTCTCGCTCTGTTGCCTAGGCTGGGGTGCAATGGCCCGATCTCCACTCACTGCAACCCCTGCCTCCCGGGTTCACGCCATTCTCCTGCCTCAGTCTCCCGAGTAGCTGGGATTACAGGCGCCCACTACCACGCCTGGCTAATTTTTTGTATTTTTTTTAGTAGAGACGGGGGTTTCACTGTGTTAGCCAGGATGGTCTCTATCTTCTGACCTCGTGATCCACCCGCCTCAGCCTCCTGGCAACCTGAATTTGAAGTCAACACATGGGGAAGGGCAAGGCCAAAAAAAAAAAAACAGAAATAAATGGACTTCAGTAATGGGATTACATCAATTTTTCAATCTGTCCTACTTTTGGATTTTTTGTTTTGTTTTGTTTTTTGAGATGGAGTCTCGCTCTGTCACCAGGCTGGAGTGCAGTGGTGGGATCTGGGCTCACTGCAACATCCGCCTCCTGGATTCAAGCAATTCTCCTGCCTCAGCCTCCCGAGTAGCTGGGACTACAGGCGCGTGCCACCATGCCCAGCTGCTAATTTTTGTATTTTTAGTAGAGACGGGATTTCACCCTGTTGGCCAGGATGGTCTTGATCTCTTGACCTCGTGATCTGCCCGCCTTGACCTCCCAAAGTGCTGGGATTACAGGTGTGAACCACTGTGCCCAGCCCCCTTGTTACTTTTGAATCTTTAGTTGTGTGAGTTAATAAACTTCCTTCTAAGGCCAGGCACGGTAGCTCACACCTGTAATCCCAGCACTTGGGGAGGCCGAGGCGGGCAGATCACCTGAGGTCAGGAGTTCGAGAGCAGCCTGGCCTACGTGGTGAAACCCTGTCTCTACTAAAAATACATTAAAAAGTTAGCCAGGCGTGGTGGCGTGCACCTGTAATCCCAGCTACTCATGAGGCTGATGCAGGAGAATCGCTTGAACCAGGAGGTGGAGGTTGCAGTGAACCAAGATCATGCCATTGTACTCCAGCCTGGGCAACAAGAGTGAGACTCCGTCTCAAAAAAAATAAATAAAATAAATAAATAAATAAATAAATAAAATTCCTTCTAGTTTAAAGCAGTTTTAAGTTGGGTTTTCTGTTATTTCACATGAAAGTAATCTTATACAATCTTATACAGGGAGCAAAGACAGACATGATATCTGACATCTTAGGATCGGGTGGGTAAGGTAAACAATCAAGTATCTAGGTAGGACTGTACTTGAAGCAACACAAAGCCAGAATATAATGACTAAACAAAAAAGTGATTGTTTTTCTCACAATAAGAAGTCCAGAGGTAGGTACCACAGGGCTGGTGAGAATGTCAGCAAAGATCTAGGCTCTTCACTTTCCTGCTTCACCATCCCTATCATGTGGCTTCTGTCTTTATGGTTGTGAAATGGCTATATGCTTAAGAAAGTGAAAGCAGCAAAGGGCCAGAGCAACATGTCAGCTGAGTATGTTTCTTTTGAAAATCTTTGGCAGAAGCTCTACCCTGTAGGCATAGGCTTTATTTATTTGAAACAGAGTCTCACTCTGTCACACAGACTGGAGTGCAGTGGTGCTCCAGTCTAGCTCACTGCAGTCATAGCTCACTGCAGCTTTGACCTCCCCAGCTCAAGTGATCCTCCTGAGTAGCTGGGACTACAGGCATGTACCACTGCACTTGGCTAATTTTTAAATTTTTTGTAGAGATGGGGTCTGCTGTGTTGCCCAGGTTGGTTTCGAACTCCTGGGCTCAAGCAGTCCGCCTGCCTCGGCCTCACAAAGTGCTGGGATTACAGGCGTGAGCTACTATGCCCTGCAGGGATAGGCTTTTGAAGAGATAGTGATGACCTCTAAATAACCTCTAAGCTTGCATTTTAAAGGTTAACAAAGGAGGAAGACATGATCAATGATGTGTCCATATAACTTTTCCCCCCTTGAACAGTATCCAAGTTAGATTATTCCAGTCATCAAGAGAGTCATCATTTTTGATTAGCTAAATTACATGTCAAGCTCTTGGGAATGATTATTGCTATATCTTTTATTTTCTATGTTAGGCTATATAGCATTAAAGAAATGGAGGGTTGACTAGGTGTGGTGGCTCTTGCCTGTAATACCAGCACTTTGGGAGGCCG